CCCCCTGCAGCCCCTGAGCCTGTGGGGCAGGGGCCACACGCTCCTCCTGCGCTGCCCGCTCCACGCTCACAGCTCAGGCAGCACAGCCCCGATGTGGGCGTGCGGTACCGGGTGCTGCACACAGGGCGTACGTAACTTGCACAGAAATGAGACGGCACTGCGTGGTTATGGCCGTCCATGTTTTCCTCCAGCTGCCTTGTCCTCTGCTGGGGTGGACAAATCAGTAATACCGATTTGGAGACTGGCAGCTTTGTGCGGCACTTGGCTTTAGGCGACCTGACCTGTTCCGAAATCACCCAGAGCCCTGCAAAACCCACACAGCTTGGCAGCACGGCTCTTCCCGCCCTCATCCAAATGTCTCGGGCTGTAAATGCAGGGGGGAACTGGGGGTGGCGGTGGTCTGTGTCCGGCTCTGCACGGCTCAACATGTCTCATCAAAATGTCTCTGTGATGCTCTTTGTGTGGCTCTTCCCTTCCAGCGTGTAGTTAAAGGGTATTGAACAGGAAGGGTTCAGAGGTGAGGTGAGGCACCAGGGCGATGAGAAAACTGGAGAAGAGAGCAGAGGCGAGAGGCTGCCAGAGGTTAATGTTGTGGTTTATCAGTGGGGTGACAGCCCACGCCAGGGCTGAAAGCTCTTTGGGGAGATCTTCGGTCTGTCAGGCCAAGATAAACAAATCCAAAGGTTGAAATTCAACGGGAGAGGTGCAGGGGGAGGGAGGGAGGAGGGTACGGGCACTGCGGTCCTCAGCGTGGGTCTGAGTGACGCATGTGGGGAGACGTGCCTCCAGGCTGAGCTCCCCTGCCAGCAGCTCCACAGTGCCCCTGCCTCCCAGAGCTTCCCCCGGCCTGCATCTTTCTGCAGGGCCATGGGGGGAAGGAGATGGGTGGGAGGATGGAGAAAATGCAAACCTTTGCTGAACTGTGAACGGTAGGTCCATGTCTTTGGGGCAGAGCATCACCCAGGAACAGCAGCCAGGATCTCGCTGCCAAACCACAGAAAGTTCAGAGGGAAAAAAAAGGCCCTTGCAGCGGGGTGTAAACGGTTAAGTTAAATGGCCTGGTCCAAAGCAGGAGGCAGCAGCAGCTAATGGGGAAAAACACTGGGTGTGAAAGGGTTCTTTGTCCCAGCAGGAAGGCGAAGGGCACCCAGAGGCTGGGCGCTGGGGACGCACCCTGATAGGAGCGCAGAGCAGGCTTGTTTGCAGTGGGGGGTGCAGGCTCCCGGAGAAGAGGTGGTTTTACACTCTTGTTCCTTTTGCAGCCAGACAAGCCCCTGCCTGGAGGGTGCTTTGACCAAACAACGGAGTGGCTCAGCTGATGTGCTGCGGAAAAGCAAGGCGGACCCAAGGAGGAGCTCCAGTCCTTGCACAGGGCCAGCTCGGCGGGCCAGGACAGCCGTGCACCATCCTTCCCAACCGTACGTCCAGGGTGGGAGGCTGCGGCTCACGACGGGTCTCGCGCTCTGGGAGGACGACCAGAAAATGAGCACCCCATGCAAGGGGAGCCCTTTTCCTTGTAGGAGAAGGTCTCGGAGCCACAAACCAGAGGTGCCGGGCCACGGGGAGGGCAGGAGGCCGGCAGCACCTGGGCAGGAAAGAGATGCAATCTCACCACCCTCCTTTCCTGAGCCAAGAGGCACAGCAAATAAAGGAAAGCAGATAACAAAAGCTATCCCTGCCGGCCACTCGCTGGGGCGATGGCCTGGCTCAGCAAGGGGTCAGCATGAATTATGTTTCCTGGCAGAATGAGGCTGTGCTTGTAGGGGGATATCTGCCAAGTAGCATGAGACAACAGGGCTTGGCACACATTGCAGAGGGGCCCGAAGTGGAGGGCAGGACTAGATCATGACTTTGGGCACCCCCAGGGAATCCAGTCCGTTTCGGTGACGGTGATGAGGCACATCCTGCTGCTCTTCTCTTTGTGTTGGAGAAAATACAGCAAGCCAGGAGCAAACTTCCTGAATGCTTTGGGAAGTGGTTGCCTACTGCATTAATATTTGCTGGTTTATACAGCTGTCCCTCAGGCAGGCATTCAGCAACTGGTAATAGAAAATGCAACTAGTACGTGGGGTAAGCAGCTAACCACAGGCCTGGAGAAGACCCTGGTAACTAGTAATGTGTGCACGCATGGTCACACGCTTGTATGCATGCTCGAACATGAACCGTGAAGCAGATTCCATGGAGAGGTCAAAGACCTTGTGGCTTCCCCAGATAGGTAACATGCTGGCTGTGGAAAGGACACGCCAATGACATATGTCTATCACTGTGCACTTGAAGAGGATGGTCAGTTTGGACTGAGCTTGAGAGGTGGAGGTTTCCTGTGCATCCCAAAGAAGTGATGGGGACGAGGGAAGGCAGCCGAAACTGTGTGCGTCATTGCTCCCAGCCCCCCGTGGCTGCAGAGACATCCTTACGCCGGCCATACCCGCCCTGGACCCAAGGCCCTCCAGAGCCTCCTTGCATGAACTGAGCAGGGAGACCCCCACCACGCCTCCCAGAGCCTGCATCTACCCACAAGGACCAAGCGCACCCATCCATCTTGTCAAACTGCTTTAATATTTGGACATGAAGACAGGACAGAGCCAGTCAGGCTGTGCACAGACAAGACGCCCCCGAGCCACGGTGTAAGGCTGCAGGGCTTCCCTTCTCAATGGATGTGTGGATTTGGCCAAGACGCAGTTCAGCTGATGACGTCCTGAGCGTGCCAGTGGGGTGCACGTGTGGGGTAGGGAAGAGGGACGGGGGCTCCCCAGGGCAGCTCAGAGGTTGTTCAGCTCCAACAAGGTCTGGTCCAGGACCTGGTGGATGCCCACGTTCTCCTCTTTGGCACTGGCCAGACTCTCTGTGAATAAAAGGTACACCCAGCCACACACACAGACGCAGCCCAAGTGTACCCAGATGCAGCCGGACCCATGCACACCACACCAAGCACAGACACACGCACACAGATGGACATTTCAGTATGGCGACACCTCTAGCCGGAGCGGGGCATCCCTGCGGAGCAGAGTCCACACAACAAGCCGCACCACCGGCA